CCCCCGGCCACCACCCGCTGGCCCGGGGCTGGGGGGCCTCTGGGGACCCCCGCTGACCGCTGCCCCCGGCCCCCGGAAGCAGCCAGAGGCCAGCGGCGGAAGGGACCCCTCTGGCTGCGGCCACAGGCCCGAGCCTGGGGGAAGGACAGTGTGCGCCGCGCCCGGCGGCCACCACACATCTGTGCCCGTGCACCGGCCAGGGCCTTCCGGCCGCCCCCAGGGACGCCCCTGCAGACGGGACAGCAAGGGAGAGGGGCTGGCGTGCGCCTGGCCTTGTCTCCCCTTCTGGGGGGTGGACGGGGCGGCTAGACCAGCGTCCCCCGCAAAGGGCGCCACACAGGCACTGACCTCGTCCACGTTCTCGAAGGCGTTGATGACGTCGTAGGGCAGGCAGGACAGGAGGTCAATGACAAACCAGGTCTTCAGGTAGTTCATGCGGATGAGCTTGGGGTCGGAGATCACCTCGCCCGCGGGCCCCACGAAGGTGGTGTGGAAGTTGAGCACGATGTCCACCAGGAAGATGACGTCCACGATGCTGTCCACCACCAGCCAGGCCACGTTGTTCTGCCGGGTCTTGAAGGACACGTTGTAGGGCACCAGGATGGCCGTGTAGAAGGTCAGGATGAGGATGACCCAGTCCCAGGTGGTCTTGAAGACGCAGTAGTGCAGGATGATGTGCGGCGGCGTCTTGGGCGCCTCCTGCTTGTACTGGGGCAGGATGTCCGAGCCCAGCTGCAGGACCTGCGGGCACACGGCGACAGCTGGGGGCCGGCCCGGGCGGCCGGGGGCCGGGCGGAGTTGGATCGCACCTCCTCGGGGAAATGAGGAGAGGAGTCCCGTTGCGCGTGGGGGCCCGGGAAGGGTTGGACTGTGGGCGTCTGGGGTGACCATGAAGGACTAAAGCTCTAGTGTGCGAGAGATGGGGTGCAGAACCCATATCTAGGGGCGCTGCTCCAAGGGGGATTTGGGCGGTAGTAGCATTTGATACTCCAAGGAGTTGGGTCCAGGTGGGTTGGGGAACCTGCGGTGCACTGCTGAGCTGACCTGGGAGTTCGTAAAGCACCGACCTCTGGGTCTCACTTTGGGGTTGGGCGGGGAGTTGTGGGGAGTGCTGCCTCTGTGCGGAGTCTGAGACTCCTCTCCTTAACAGCTGGGCTCCCCCCTCCTTCCCAGCTGAGTCTGGGCGCCAAGCCCCTGAGTGCTCATCACGCTGGACCCTGGCGCGGAGCCCTGGCATCACGACTCGGAGGCCGAGACTCTCTCCTGGAGTCACCCAGGTCTGCGCCGTGTTGTGCGTGCGGGAGTGTGTGTGTGTGTGTGCGTGTGCGCGCGCGCGCGCGCGCGTGTGTGTGTGTGCGCGTTCTCAGATTGTAGTCCCTGTCGAAGTTCAGATTGTCTGGCTACTGCTACTGGGAGGAGGAGTCTAAGTTTAGCATCCCTGTTAGAGCCCTTAGGGGCTGGGAAGGCTCCAGTGGGCTTTAGTTTCCCCTGCTAAGAATAAAGCCTTTCTCTGGCAGTGCTCTAGGGAAGTGTTTCTACCAATTTGGGCATCACTTCTTCAGCACTGGAGAAAGGAGGGGAGAGGGTCACTTTTCTGTATCCCAGTTCACACTTGACCTTGCCCAACACCTCCCTGGGCTTCCACCTATAGAAGAATCACCTGTGTTTCTGTGGAAGTTGGGAAGGGTCCCAGGGCTTGCAGAGCCACACCCTTTGGCTGCACCTCCCCCACTGTCCAGTTCAGGGAAGGGTTGAACTTTGGGGCTTTGCTGAGAGGAGGAGGGGGAGGTGACAGGCTTCAAAGGAAAAACGAAGACAATGACTCCTGCTTGTGATTGGCTTTGGAGGGCCCCTTCTTAGGCTGGGATTGCCAGCTTGCAGAGGAGGTTGAAGGGCAGGGGGAGCCCCTGCCAGGTGACTGGTAGGACAGCACTTGGTCCTTTCAGGGGGAAACTTTGTCTCCTGGTACTGATAAGTTTTAATTCTCTCTTATCCCCACCCCCTACTCCCCTTTGGGAAACACTATCCAGAGAACACCACTAACCCCTTTTGATATTCAACTGGCATCTCCTCATTCTCCAGGGAAGAGGGCAGAGATAAGACCATAGATAGCTCACAGACTGGATTGGTGTGTGTGTGTGTGTGTGTGTGTGTGTGTGTGTGTGTGTGTGAAGTAAGCAAGGGAGAGTTTGCATTTGGAAAGAAACAACATTTCTGAATTTAACTTAGATTCCTTTAAACACTTCACTAACCCACAGACAGTTTGCCATTTGGCTTGTTCTTTAAACATAATATACTGGGAGACAGAATTCCCAGGGGATCTCTAATTGAATCTGTCAGTGACAAACACTGTCTCTCTGTGTCCTTAATTATTCAGGTGGTGGTGGTGGTGGGGGGGGGTCCTGACTGCCCCTGGGACGCTAAGGGACCCTTGGTGTGTGTATAGGGGACTAGGTTGGGAGCCAGGATGCTGGGTGACTCCAAGCTTAGACTTCCAAGAGAAGACTCTTACCATCAAGTGGAGCAGGAGGAACTTCTTTATCACCAAGAAACTCTTATCAACAACCTGAGTAGTTTAGGCATTGAGGTCACAGAGAGAGGGCTGAATTTCACTTCCTTCTGTGAGGCAGTCTGTACCAATCTCAGGTTCAGCGCTGGCAGGAATGGTGGGCAATGTGGAAAGATTTGAAATCCTGAGGACTAGTGAGTAGACTGAGCTGGGGGAGGATGGCCAGTTTTCTAAATGCTGGATAGAGCCTCTAGACCAACCTGTGCAAGGCAGACAGCTCTACTGTGCTAGAAGGCAGCTGCAGTGACTAACTTGGGTCTTTCTCCCCCCTCTCCCAGGACACTCTTACCACACCACCGAGCCTGTTTGTTGTGTTGAGCAAGCAGGGGGAGGAGACTAGAGTAGATGGGCAGTGGGGCGGGGCTTAGCAGGTTTGGAGGGAACCTGGCAGCACCAGGATTGCTGGCTTTTGTTTTTGCTGCTGAGCCTGGAGCTTAGCTCAGACTGAGATGAGAAATTGGTGTGTACACATCAGGATACCGTGTGTGTGTGTGTGTGTGTGCGTGCGCGCACGCACGTGTGCATGTGTGCCAGTTACAGCACCCTTCTACCCTCCCACAGCCACTCACAGAGTCTAGTCTTGTTGACATTTCCCCAGGTGTCCAGCATGCTCGTACCAGCTGACCCTGCCTTAGCTATTGCTGAGAGTCAACAGCAGTCAGATTTCATGACTGTGACCAGCTTGGTTGAGAAGAAAAGACCAAGGAGAGTGGCCTTGTGTGGGCCTCAGGAATAGGTGTGAAGAGTCCAAGAACAGTGCGACTGCCCACATTCAGGGATCAATGTCACCCTGGACAGTGCTTTTTTTCACCAGAGCTGTCTGTCATTATCTGGCCCCTTTCCCCACATAAAAATGGAGAGCAGGGAAGGGGGAAGGGAAGGGGAGTCTCAGGTTTGGCAGAGTGGGGACTGCATGCCGGATGCCTACATTGTGCACTAACAGGGGACATGGAGCCACCGCAGTGTGTGGAGGAGTTGGAGGATGATGTGTTCCAGCCAGAGGATGGGGAGCCAGGGACCCAGCCTGGGAGCTTGCTCTCTGCCGACCTGTTTGCCCAGAGCCAGCTGGACTGCCCCCTCAGCCGTCTACAGCTCTTTCCTCTCACCCACTGCTGTGGCCCTGGGCTTCGACCCGCCAGCCAGGAAGACAAGGCCACCCAGACCCTCAGTCCAGCCTCTCCCAGCCAGGGTGTCATGCTGCCTTGTGGGGTGACTGAAGAACCCCAGCGACTCTTTTATGGTAAGTACTTTTAGCCTCAGGACTCCTCCCATAGAGATTGGGGGAAAAGAGGGGACTTTCCCTCCTCAAACCTGCTCTATACTATTTCCTTCCCCAAATTGAGCAGCAAGGTCTACTGATTCCTCGACTCTCATCCTTCTGCCTCTCTGTTGTTGTGCCTCACCTGTGCTCCTTGGGCCCTGAGAAAAGCAGATCACCACCCGCTATTTCTGTTCTTTTGTTCCTTCCCGGAGGGGTCCTAAGGTTCATGATATCTCCTTGAGTTGGAGAGAGGGGGGTCTGTGTGACCCAGCCTTTTATGTCCTGGTGAGCGACATGCCTCCTATAAAGTATTTTAACAGTGCCCTGGAGAAGGCTGGGGAATCTGTGACTTGCTGTTGACACTGAAGGGAAAAACCTAGCCGTTCTGGGAGGGGAGGTTCCTAGTGGCAGAAGGTGGCCTCCAGTTGTCACTTGGGACTTTCTGTCCTTGGAAGGGGAACTAGAGAATGAGGTTGGCCTGCCTGGGCTCAATGCCAGCAGAGGGGCTGTTTTAAGGTTCAGTCTGACAAGACCCCTTCATTTGTGGATTTAAATAGTTTTATGAGCAGTATGCCCTCCTCTGGCAAAAGAGCAGAGTTAGACTGTTTTTTTCTTTTAGCACAATAGCTTGTGGAGGGAGGGAGAAAGGTTCGGGGCTATCTTGCTGTGTCTGACTGAGCAGATTGAGGAGACGCTGCAGTTATCCCCAGAGGGAGCTGCCGCGTAGGGTTAGCCTGGCATTAGCAGTTCTGGCGGGAGTCTGAGAAGATGGATAAGCGGGCGGGGAAGAGGGAAAGGAGGGAGGAGGTGGGCGCCCCTAGCGGTGTCTCTGCGGCCAACACTCGGTAATTGGGGAGCGCTTGCCTGGAGGTCTCCCACAGTTAACCCCAGGCTGCCTCTAAAGAGGAAGGTGGCTGTTCTGTGGGTCTGAGGAGTTTTCTCATTCTAGGTTTTGTGCCGTTGCCCGGAACTTCAGGACCCAAGATCAGCCTTCCTTTTTCTGCGCTAAAATATCAAGCCACATTTTGGTTTTCTCTGCCGCTTGCTTGTTTTACCCAGGACTCTAGAGGGCTGCCTCCAGTGCTTTTCCAAAGAGCTTCAGCCTGCTACTACATGAATAATAAATGGTGGTCTAGCATAGCTTGATAAATAAGGACAGCGTTTGGCAAGTTCACCCACAAGTATTACCTTTGCCTTGGCACTGCTTGTGAATGGAGAACTGAGAGGAAGGCAGAGACCATTCCCTTCTGTTCTCCCAGCATCAGATTTTATAAACCTGGGCAACAGGCAAGTCAGGCTGTCCAGATTTTGGCCTTGTGCCCTGATAAAGACAGTGAGTTGAGTCCCTCTCCCTTCCCATACAAGCCTTCACCCTCAGCGGCAGCAAGTCTTGGCTAGGAGTAGCAGCATGGGGCGATGGGGCTGTTGTGGAGAATGCTGAGATGTGGGCCCTCTGTCTTTGCAGGCAATGCTGGCTACCGACTCCCTCTCCCTGCCAGTTTCCCTGCAGGCTTGCCCCTTGGTGAGCAGCCCCCTGAAGGGCAGTGGCAACATCGAGCAGAGATACAGATTGCCCGAAAGCTTCAGTGCATTGCTGACCAGTTCCATCGACTTCATGTGCAGCAAGTAGGCATGGGGACTTGGAGGGAAGGAGGTTGGGGATTGGACTGGGGGTGGGGGCGGGGCAGAACCTGCTCTGGCAATTCTGTCTCTGTCAGGCCTCAAGAATATGGTCACAGAATTTTGGCCTGGGTTGTTGGGATTCCCATAGCCTGCATGGGCCAGACTGAGTGAACATTCTTGCCCTCATCTCTGAGCTCCAAGTGGGTTATCTGCCCTTTCAGTTCAGCCTCCATAAAAATGGGATCAGGAGATGCTGCAGTCTCTCCTAAGGAATAGGATAACTTTCTGCAGCCTACCTACCAAGCAGTGTCTTCTTGAGGCCAGGGTGGGAGATTATCCATTTTTCCACCTAAACGAAAGCTTATCAGGGTGTTAGCATGAAACTGGACAATTGGGGGTACCTGCAGAGGTGGAGTGAGAACTGGATAACCAAGACCAGGGATGGGCCTGTGTTGGGGGAAAGTGGTGGAACCAGTTGTAACCTGACACTTTCCAGCTGGGGAGGCCACTCCTCATTGTCTCTGTCTGGGACACTGGGCGAGTGTACCTCGGAGTCCCTCCAGACTGGCGGCCTGGTGCTGGGCCGGGTGCTTGGCCGGCAGCCTGGCACTAGCCCCGCCAGGGCGGAGCATCGCGTGTCAGTAGAGCATGTGGCTGAGTCCATCAACAAAGGAGGCGGCTGGCAGGCTCGTGCTGGAGGAGCTCTCCGTGCCACTGGCTGGAGGCTGCCTGGCTACAGAGCTGCAGCCTGGGCCAGGCCCTAGGCGCTTAACCCTTGTCTCTGACTGGCTGCCAGTGTGGGGAGAGGAGACTGAGGCTGGATCTGTGCTAGTACAGCCATGGCTGAAACAGAGGCACACTACCCAGAGACAACACGTTCCCTACCTCTGGGACTGTGCCCCTGGCCGTGTGTGTGTGTGTGTGTGTGTGTGTGTGTGTGTGTGTTTGAGGGGGAGAGAGAGAATATCAAATCAAGAGAATAAATAACTCACCATGATTGGGTAGACTAGGAGCTTAGATAGACAACCTCAGGAGGACAGTATGTTTGACTGAAGGATCAAACCATTGAGTTTCCTGAGAAAAGGCCATTGGGGATTAGCTGTGTCTCTGCCAAGGAGTATTGAGGATTTGGTGTGTGTGTGTGTGTGTGTGTGTGTGTATCTGGTCCCTGGGGCTCTCTCAGTCCCTTAGTGATCAGAGATGGTGATGGCCCTATGCTTGGATAATTTGTCACTAGGCCTCTTCTCCTCTTCTTCCTGATCCCACACTGCAGTCCCTGTTTCCTCCTTTGATTGTTTTTTTTTTTGGAAACTTAGCTTAAGAGTTTCCCTTCCATTTGTGTATGGATGCACTGATTCTCGATTTTGGTCTCCCGTCCTCCCTTCTGTCCCTTCACTAACTCTACCCTGACTGGACTGACTAAACCCAGCTCATAGGTCCCACTTCCTTTCATGGAAGACACAGTGGCTATGGCCTCTTAAACCTGTCTAGAGGACTCTTCTGGAAGGCAGCTTTCTTTATTCCAGTAGACCTGACCTCTCAGTAATTGTCTATCAGAATACACCACCCATCCCATCGTTGTGAAGTACCTGTGGGCTTGAGGCAGGCTGGGAGAGCACCCTTGCCAGAGTGTGCCTTGGTATGGACTAGAATACAACCTTGGTTGTTTCTTTCATTTCTGAACAGGAGGAGGCAGACCTTATCCTGAAGTCTGACCCAGTGCTTCACTACTTGGCATCATTTCCTCCACTCTGGGACTACCTGTTTGTAGGCTCAGTTCCGGTTTAGACAAGGGTGCTGTCCTCTCCACTGTGGGGAGAGTGGGGGAGCAGAGCCCCTGAGCCAGAAGAGAGTGGAGGAGTCTCCCCTGCTCTGCCTCATCCCACACTGCCTCCTTGAGTGCCCTGGGCCCCTCCCCCGCCTGCCAACTACCTACTTCTCTCCCCTTGCAGTGGCAGGCCGCTGGCAAGGGAGTCCTTGCTACCCCAGATTTGGTTTCCCCAAATTTTCCATTACAAAAAGTAGGCTTTTTGTCCATGGAGTCCTCTTGCTTTTAACCCACTCCTCCCTACAAGCTCTGCTCATCATGGACCACCAGAACTCATCCTGGGAGAAGGACTAGGATATTGAAGTCAGGCAGATGAAGATGGAGCACTGACACATACAGGACCTTTTAGAGCTGGTTTTAAGAAATGATTTTTTTTTAACTTGATTATTATTGTAAGTTATGGTTTAATGTTTCATATCTGAAAAATGCTATTATAACTCATATTCTTAGCCTTTATTCCCTTTCCTCATCTTTGCAGGCAGAGAAACTGAGGCACAGGATGGAATAGTTTAGAATTAAGTATCTAGGTTCCAGGTACAAAGTCAGAAAGCCTGGGCTTGGATACCAGCTCTGCCATGATCAGCTAACAGGAAGTCTCTTGACCTTGCACTGTTTCTTCTTCTGTCAGTCAGAGCGAATACCACAGAACTTTATTGCAATGACTGAGGAAATACCTGTGAAAGTTCCAGGCACACAGTAGGTATTCTTTAGTGCTTGTTTCTTTCCGTCTGTCTGTAATCCCACCTACCTCACCTGCCAGGCTGGTGCTTGAGTAGAGCTGCCCCCTAGCACTCCTTCACTTGTTCCGTCCAGAGCAGTTGGTGTCTAAGTTGTTCATTTTGGGTCACTGGTCTGTGCATTTCTGCTTAGAGAATGGTGGTCATTCCCTTCATTGTGGGATGAGTTTAGAGAACCTAAAAAGACAACCCAAGACTCAGTATGAGGGTTGAGGGGACCTGGCCATCTTCTGTCTCCTCCTGGGATGGAGTCCCAGGGCCAGACAGTTGCCATTGGTCAATGAGTCCTGTGACGCGCCCTGCCTTTTGTCCCTAGTTATGGACCTCAGTTATTCTTTTTCTGATTTCGAGGGAACCTTCTCCCTTGGAGATGTGGAACAGAAAGAGAGGCTGTGATGTGGGGTAGTATGTTGTAGGGTGACATCTTAGTAAATTGAGTGTATCCGCATGACCCCAGATGGAACATGTTCCGAATTCCTCCAGGTGTGAGTTTATGCAGGCCACAGAGTCTCCCAGCATCTTTTGTAAGGAGTATACTGGGTGTGGTCTAGCCTCGGTACATGTACTCAGCTCAGCCCTCAGGAGTAAAAGGCAAGGAATTAGATGCAGAAGATCAGCAAGGTGCTCACTGTAGGCTCTTTGGGTCTCCGAAGCAATAAGATTGTTAGAGGCAAAAGGAGTAGAGTTAAAAGCAGTTATAAACCTGGTCCTGTCCCACCTTCCTTGGGTGAACTGGAAGGTTCCCTATTGTTCATCTGTGAGCTGAACAACTGAGCAGTGACATGTGGTGGCCTGCTGACTGTAGCCATGAGGGTGCCAATGTTTCTGTGTCCATCCTGTTTTTTCATGAAGAGAGCAGTACAAGAGTACAAGTTTGCTTCCTCACTTGTCTCCCAGGCTACCCTGGTCAGAGGAGACCCTGATGTGGTCTTCTCCAGCGTGGGCCTAAGGATAGATAGTAGCTGGTGTGCCTACACCAAGAAAAATCTCTTGGCCCAATAACAATCTTTTTTTTTTTTAATTTATTAATTTATGCATACCAAAACTGGGTACAGGCCAGAGGTGGGGAGGAGGGTGGGGTGAGAGGATTCGCCAGAGTCAGAGTGGGGAGCAGACCAGGCAGATCAACCAAAATCCACTGCTTGCAGGGGGCAACGAGCAAGACAAGAGAGGTCTGCTGTGCCATGTGGGTCACCTTCCTGGCCGGGAATCAAACTTGTGCTACAGTGGCTGCCAATAGCTTCATAGTGCTGTGCTTTAACCTGTTGCACCAACAGGGAGGGCCCCCAATAACATAATCTTAAGATATGTGTATGGCTATTTCTGGGCAATGTTAAGATTCCATGAATCCTAAAAAATAAAATAAAATTAAAAAATACTATATCTTTGAGTGAATAAAACTATAGGAGGGTTAGAATTCTCTGTGTTGCAACTGGTTTTTTTACTTGGGCCAGGAGTGACCCACTCTGATAACAGTCAGATTTGGAAATCCCCTGAATTAAACTTTCTGAACAATGAAATCTGGGAAAAATTTCAGCCACTCAGTTTAAATCATCTTTTGTTAGTTACAGTATCACTGAAAGGATACTGGATTCAGAGTCAGATCCAGGTTCAAATCCCAGCTATGTCACTTAGGAGATCTGTGCTCACAGACAAATTATTTCACTTCTCCAAATCTCAGTTTCTAATGCTTACCTTGCAGGTTTGATATGAAAGCTCTTTGGAAATTCTAGTACATCTAATTATTAAAGTGTAAACAGTTTAATACTTCTAGAAATATGTTAAGAGATGTTTTTAGGATTTCATTTGGATCTGGCTTTATAGTTCTTATAGTTTTACACAGTGGTATTTGCGTGGCTTATTAAATAGCAGCTTCTCTGCCAGGAGCCCCTGACTGCTTCCTGACCTTTTGGGGTACTCTTCTTGTTAGCAAATGGTATCCTGAAGCTTAGACCGTGGCTAATGAAGTTGATTAGCTCTGAGTGGGACAGCCTTGGACAGGAGCCCCAGAGATTTACCCAAGAGTCATAGGGGTCCCTGTAGGTCCCCCCACATCCCAGAAGTGGGGAGTCCACCTAGGACAGTGCCTGCGGAAGAATGAAGTTGGGGGAGGGGACAGACTGTGCGTGAGAGCCAGTGCTGGGGCTTGGGGGCCCTGTGTTTGCTCTGTGGCTGGCTCTGTTTATATCACTGGCTATATTTAGCTTCTGAGTCATCAGCGTGGCTGACTAGAGGCTGAGTTCCCCACACAGCTCTGCACCTGACTACTCTCTTTTCCAGGAGAAGGGCCTTGTAGTTCCGGACAGTTCATTCCCTCCCCGCCAAGGCAAGCCATGGGGGTGGGAATTGGATTTGTTTTCCTTCTTGGGGTGGTGGGAGGGGTGTTGATGGGGGAGGAGAGGTTTGGGGGAGGCACTAAAGAAGGATAAAGAAAAATG